GGCGTCTCACCAGAGCGGGTTGAGCAGCACGAGTGCCAGCTCGTCTAGCTCGGTGGACGCTTATCGCGGCCCGGCCGCACAGCCACTACCGCCTATGGACTCTATCGCCGAGGGTGCCGTCAGCGGTGTAGGCAGCACTCGCACGGGGAGACCAACGTCGGCTGTTGAGCTGGAGGGCCCGAGGAGGCCGAGGCTGAGCCTTGCGGTTCAGCATGACGGGAGCAGCATGGAGAGCATGACGACTGGTAGCAGTCGAACGGACGAGGGTGATGAGAATCGCGACGTTGCGGAGAATGAGAATGAAGACGGCGATGTAGTTAGTCCTTTGAGTGTGTCGACTGCCCCGACTCCGGTCCGGGAGAGCAGGATACGGAGAAAGGCGGGGAGTGTACTGAGCAGGATCAGCCTCGTGAGTCCTGTGAGTGTCGCCGGGTCCAAGTCTTCTGGACCCCATTGAGTGGGCATGTGAGTGTACGAAAAGTGTTGTTCTTAACGCCTTGAGAGGCTAGAGTAGTATACCTCGGAGGTTTCCTTTGTTTCTAGCGAGCAGATTGTTGCAAGATATCCAAGAAATGCAATATACTTAGTAATGTTTGTTACAATGAGTCTCGAGCTGCAGCCTTATTCACTGCTCGACTCCGCCAATCGTGAAGTCGGACATCTGTTCCCTCCTACAACCCAGAATGAACCAACAAGTTTCTCGCTCCTGGTCAGCAATTTGACGGGCGCGTCATCGCGCCCTTTGGTTGACACATTGACTCCCGATCTCCACATCATTGAAAGAATGAACGCAGTACTCCGTGAACGACCTCTTATACGACCACGTTCACCTTTCAATGTAACCATCAGTTGGATTACTCTTCTTCATTTCAAGTAACATTCACAAGTCATTCATAATGTCCAAACTCCCTCTCAAATCCCTCTCCCTCATCCTCTCCCCTTACCACGTCGGCCTCCTCAACAAAGGCCCCGGCGCCGGCCCAGCATTCCTCAAAACCTCCGGTCTCGACTCTACACTCCGCTCCCTCGGCCTCCCCGTCCACGAAGTCCAAGTCGAGCCGATCGACGACCACGAAGGTGAAATCGGACGCAGCTTCGAGGTCATCAGACGAACCGCGAACCTAGTAGCGCAAGAACGCCGCAGGGGTTCGTTCCCGATCATCCTCGCCGGGAACTGTAGTTCCGCGGTGGGCGTCGCGGCGGGGCTTCACGCGTCGCGAGCGTCTGGAGATGGGGGGCTGGGGTGTGTGTGGTTTGACGCGCACGATGATTTTAATACACCCGACACCGTTATGAGCGGGTACTTTGATTCGATGCCGATTGCCATGCTCGCGGGGCAGTGCTGGAAGGGTCTATTGCGGACGGTCCCGGGACACGAGGCGATGGATTTGGAGCGGTTGGTGCATGTTGGTATGAGGGACGTGAATGACTTGGAGCGGGCCAGGGTGGAAGAGGCAGGGTTCGATATCGTCTGGGGCAGCACCAAGAGGAAGGTTGATTTCGGTGCCGAGCTTGGGGTTGTGCTGCAGCGGAAGAAGCTTGGTGCTACGATGGTTCACTTTGATGTTGATTCTTTGGATACGTCAATCGGACACGCGAACCGGTTTGCTGCGCCGGGTGGGCTGTTGAGGGAGGACATTATCGGGTGCTTTGAGGGGATCTCGGAGAAGACTGAGCCGATGTCTCTTACAGTGGCTTCGTTTGACCCGTCGTATGAGGGGGCTGAGAATCTTGCGGCGGTTGCGGTTGAGGCGATTAAGGTGTTTTTGCAGTCGTTGGTCAAATCGGGTGTGCTAGCTAAGCCGTGAGCCGTTTACTTATCAGAAGTATGATAACTCGGGATGGCAATGTTTGTTTTCCAGCAGCCTTTGTCTCATTTCCTGCTCTCATTTGATAGTGGCTTTTCTTGATGGTTGGTCATATCACCATGTCTCTGGCGCTCCGGGGCCTCGGATCGATGCTGGCACCCGATGAGTCTCGCTGGGGAAGATGTCAACGCTTAGCGAGGTCGAAATACCCGCGCGAGGAGCTCATTGGTTATTGAGCGGCGAGTCCGGTTCATACTGGTGTAGGTCTTGACTGCCGAAGAAAGATCCATGTATTTTTGCCTCCAAAGACTTTCGTTGACATTGAAGCTTGGGGATTTTAACAGCCTTACTCCCCTGCTAATGCATGCAGACGAGCGCCCACCAGAATGCGCTACCCATGTATTGGGAGAGATGTCAATGACATGGAGATTAACATTGATGATTTGAATTGGCGGTTGCAGAGTAGGACAACTCTGTTGAAGGGCGTATCTGCTCTTGTCTTCTCATAGCGAGGTGACACTTGTGAATAAGTACTTGGCCATATCACCATCGCCTCCAAAGGGAGTTGGTTTACATGGAGTCTCGTCCCCAGCGAGCCCACGATGTGCTCGCCTTCCTCTCGATGAATACAAGCAACGGTTACCAGGTTGCCAGTGACCACCCCTTCCAGGTTGGCATTGTCTGCAGCGATATCATGCAGTTTGCTACTATTTGTTTGTCGCGCCTAATCGGCATCCCTGTTCCTACGAAAGACGAGTTGGGTCGAGGTGTTTGCTTGTCAATTCCACCAACGCCAAGCTGTCGACTCTTCCCCAGTATAAAATGGCGGGTCCCGAGTATGTGACTTGTTTCTCGCGTAACTTTCGTCTCATCATCCTCGAAAAGCAGTAAAACAAAGTCCCCGATCGGCCGTCAGACTACTTCGTGAATATGGGAGAAATCGCGGCCGAAGCCTCTTTGGAGCTCAGAAAGCTCGCGGTGGATCTGCTCAATGAAGTGGATGCGTATGACACAGCCAACGTCTTGAATCCCAAGAGCGATCGCGACTTCAAGTCTAGTATTATCCAAAGAGCACAAGCCATCATCGACAAGCTCGAGGACACTCCACGGGAGAGGGCTATGAATGATTGCATCAAGGTCGGCGAGATGACCGCAAAGCAGCTCTTCAATGCCTGGGGAGTCTTCCAAAAGATCCCAGTACAGGGTTCAATTTCATACAAGGAGTTGGCTAATATTGTTGGATGTGAGCTGCAGCTGCTCGGTAAGATTACCACCATACCCCTCGGTTTCAAGATGAAGGACTCATTGTCGACTTTCCCGTTCTAGTTCGCCTCGCGTGGATGTTGAACTCCACTGGCATCCTGAAGCAAGTCGGTGAGGATGCTGTGGCCCATACTGGAAAGTCCAAAATGTTCATCAACGACAACCCAGACGGGGATCTCACCAGAATCGTGTAAGTGCTTGATTACGGCAATCCACGAGTCTCCTTACGAAAAGCTGACCTGTAAGCTTCGTACATGGCATGGTGTCATACGCCCAGTTCGAGAAGTACTTCCATGCCTACGGGCTCCAAGAACCACGAGGCCGAACACACGTTCCATACACCTTTGCGTACGGCCAGCCAGAGAAGAACATTTGGGAGGTCTCTCTCCAGAATCCTGACGACAAGAGGATCTTTTTGCGTTCAATGAAGGCAATGGGAATGCTTCTTCCGGTCTGTGGCGTCTACGACTTCTCCTGGATCTCAGATGCCGCGCACTCAGGACCAGCTGACAGGCCCCTTTTTGTTGATGTTGGAGGCGGCAGCGGTCATGCCATGAGGATTATCTGCGACGACTATGATATACCATTCGATCGATGCGTTCTCCAAGATCTTGACACAGTCATTGGCGAGGTCGCCCAATCTCAAGATTCTATTGCCTCACTAGGAACGAAGTTGATGGCAATTGATTTTCACAAGGAACAGCCAGTCAAAGGTTTGCCGGTACTCTATCACTTCTCCAGAACGATGGCTAATATGAACCAGGTGCAATTGTGTACTATATTCGTTATTGTCTTCATAATTACAGTGATGACTTGGTGGTGGAGATCCTGGCCTGCATCGCAAGCTCCATGGCGCAGGATAGTCGTCTGTTGATCGCGGAGCAAGTCACGCCGAACCCGCCCTCGGCTCATACGGCAGCCATTGATCTTTTGATGCTGAGTGTCGGCGGTAAGGAACGGCCGAGACAGGTGTGGAAAGATGTTCTCGCCAAGGCCGGGCTGGGAAGAGTCGAGTTTTGGACATCACCGGGCAACCCGCATGGCATTATTGAGTGCTTCAAGAGATCTTGAACTGAGGTGGTTGCCTGCTTTGAACATGAGGCCTGCGTCGATGCGTTACTTAAAGTACTTTGCTTTTGAGAGTAGTCTTATCAAATCTCTCCGCGGTGAAAGCTTAAGCCATTGAAGCGCGTGTGAAGCCGGGGGCCTAATCCAACTTTCTAAGTAGGATCGATGACTTAGTCTTCGAAGATTGGTCAGCCAAAGATCATAGCCACTACCTGTCAAGCCATTGTGAGATCCGATTACTGATCAAGCATTTGGACATCACGTGTCTGGCGCCCTTCTCAAGACAAACACTTGGCAGAAAGGAATACAGGGTAATTTGGATGTTTCTGCTTCCTTTGACAGCGAGCCTCATTAGCTGCTTCCATCACCAAGGATCGTGGAATGGCAGCGCACATGCAACTGATGAAGCGTACCAGCTTTGGCAGGGACATTGGAGCAGAAAAATATGCAGCCTTCATTGTATTCTGATCCTGACGGTAGCTCTGGAAGAAGGCTGTAAGTGCCTTTGAAGCATTTGGGCCCGTGCTTTGTTTGCTGTCTGGTCATGTTTCCAAAACACCGTCTTCATTGGTGGTCGAGAAGGATCACTAATCACCTAATGTTGATTGAATAACTAATCAGTGAGAGCAAGTCTAAGCTTGTCTTCTGACTTCACGTTGCTTATAAACTACAGGTAAAATTACGTAGGGGATCCGACGGGAGGAGGCGAGGAAGTATCAAGTATCGCTTGTAAGATAGATTATAAGAAAATGCCCCCGGCACCTTGCAGTGAGAAGAGCAGCGTGCATTTGCGGTAATTGACAAGGATCACTATAGTAAGCGCAACTCATAATTCTCAAATCACTTAAATATCTCACCAATATGGCAAACCGCCGTATCTTCGTCATTGGTGCCACTGGTGCCCAAGGTCTTCCCGTCTGTCGAGGTCTTGCCAAGGATGGAGGCTACAGTCTGCGCGTATTGACGCGTGACTCCAGCTCTGCGAGGGCAAAAGAACTCTCGAAACTCGGAGATGTTAAGTTTATTGAGGGGACTTTCGCCAACGAAGATGACCTACGCAAGGGATTCGCCGGATGCTGGGGTGCTTTCATCAACATCGATGGTTTCAACTGCGGCGAGAAGGCAGAGACCTACTGGACGATCCGCTGCTACGAGCTGGCGGTGGAGCTCGGGATCAAGTTCTTCGTCTTTGGAAATCTCGACTACGGTTATAAGAAGAGTGGCTATAACCCAAAGTTTCGGTGTGGACACTACGACGGCAAGGGTCGTCTGGCCGAGTGGATGCTACAGCAGAGAAAGAGCAACGACATGGGTGTCGCCATCTTCACTACCGGCCCTTACATTGAGATGACAATCTCTTCCAAGACGATCATGACGCCACGGGTCGAGAACGGGATTGTCACATGGAGAGTACCTCTTGGTGCAGGCGCAGTTCCCCACGTTGCCCTCGATGATTGCGAATATTATGCCCGTTGGCTCTTCGACCACCCCGAAAGATCTGATGGGATGGATCTGGAGGTGTCCATTGACCATATTCACTACGAGGACCTAGCAAAAGCGTTTGAAAAGGTCACGGGAAAGCCCGCTCAGTACGTTGACACTCCCATGGACGTCTATTTCGACAACTTCCCAATCTCCAGCCAACCTGCGGGTTACAACGCTGATCCCACGGACCCGGCGACTATGTCAGTTAGAGAAAACTTCTCGGGCTTCTGGACAATGTGGACAAACTCTGGGGGCAACAAGGGCGTCATTCAACGTGACTACGCGCTCTTGGACGAGATTCACCCAGAGAGAATCAAGACGGCGGAGGAGTTCTTCCGCAGGGAGAGTGAGAAACGTCGCCTCGCTGGTCTTGGGGAGCTTTTTGAAGTCATTGAGGCAAACAACCTTGCATCCATTCTGAAGCTTGGCGAGGATAACCGCAAGGGGAAGTTGTAGTTGATTGGAAGGGGATTGCGACCTGCGTAGCAAAATTGACGAGAATCGAGCAATTTACTTCCCTTGAGAAAGAGATCAGAATTGGCACCTTCAGACTCCAGAACTATGCATATGAGTTTAAAGTTTCCGTGATAATTGTTGAACTTTCGCGTTCGAGGCATTCGAATACACCTGACTTGGCATCCGGACATTGCGGAGATTAGGTTGTGCTCAATGTCCGCAACGCAGACTCACTCAACCTCCCCCCGTCAAACCACTTGTACAGCGTTCTGAAAGTAAATTTGCATACGTCAATCTGTCGAGATACGCTTCGATCCCTTTCTTTGAACGTTGAATCAATTGCAGACCTCAAGGAGTCGGTAGTTCAGGTTTAGCTGTTTGTGACCACCACGTCAAAATGCCGCGCAGAAAGATGCCTGATGCGAAGGACCGTCGGAAGCGCCAAAACGCCGACGCCCAGCGGGCATACCGTATGCAACCTAAGAACCCTCATATGATGTATTCTGCTAACTGAAAAACCAGGCGCGAGGCAGAAGACCAAAGTCCGGCATCTAGAGCAGATGGTCGCCGCTGCGTGGGTAACGCAAGAACCAGCAGCGGAAGACTGCGTCAAGGAGGTTGTAACCTACCCTCCTACTCGCTATACGGTGGACGAGCCATCAAATAGCAAGGCAGACGCGTGTACTGCTTCATGCAATATTACAGCTTCGGATATTTACCGGGCGTTGCTATCCCTTTCAGCCCTTGAAAATAGGAAAGGCTGGGGCATCATAGTGAGGGAGAACTTTACACTTCGTGACGTTGTCAAGTACGGATTGATAGCCACGGGATACTCCATGGACCCTGTACTTTACGATAGCGCCTTGTCGCTGTCATCGCGTGAGTGGTTCGCAACTGTGAAAGCGCGATGCGGCAGTGTCGACATGAGGCAGGTTGTTATTGCCGGCCTCAGGATACTGGCTCATCTTACGGCACCGAATGAGCAGCCGACACTTGAATGGCTCCAGCCAATTTGGCCCAGCCCCTCCAGAGGCGTCATTCACCTAAGGTCAATTTCATACGCGTCGGCAATGCGTGCGATAGCAGCTCAGCTCAGCATAACGACAGAGTATCTGATGGATGAGAACGCGCAGTCACCATTCTACAGCATTGCACATAGTCCTCTGAGCGAACACGACAACAACTCGAGCGACAATGACACAAATCTTCAAAAGATCACTCCGGATCTGAGGCCGACTTTCATCCAGCGTGCTCGTGCTCATCATCCTTGCTTCGACTTGATCCCCTGGCCATCTTTCCGCTCCAACGTCATCGCATTCGCTTCCGAGGCCTCGCCGCAGATAGACGAGGATGACCTCTGTATCGACATGCTGGGCGGAGGAGTTCAATGCTGGGGCTCCGTAATGGGCTCCATGCATGGGCGTGGGGACGGTGTGCCGTGGGATGGCCGCAGCTGGGAAGCGATGCCATGGTTTCTGGAAAAATGGAAAGGAGTAATAAGAGATGATCAAGACGGCATAATACATAACAGTGCTTGGTGGAGGAGTTTACGGGGCTGTTAAGAGGCAGGGAACCTTGTAAATGACCATATGTAATGGACTTGTGTACAGATTTCGCAAATTTCTCTGGAAAGGTAGGTTCTAGTTGTTATACACAGGGGAGAAGAGTAAGGAAGACCAAGAGCAACATGAGAAATCAGGATAGGGCAGCGCCAATCCATCACGAAGTAGTATATGGCTTGAGCTGTTTCTCCGTCCACTCCCAGTACTTCTTGCCTAGCTCTTTGTCGCGGAGATCCTGTCGTCCAACTGCGAGTTGACCAAACGGTACCACTAGAACTGTCGTCAGCATTACATACAACTATTCCAATATAAGAGTAGCTTACCCCAGCCACCGTTGTCCTTCTCCGTGATGGTAGGGCTCAAGCCGGCAAAGAGCTCAGTGTATGCGCCATTGATCGGCTTATGCGCTAGGAATTTCTAGAGGACACATCAAAAGGTGGTTAGAAATAGAAGAGTTACAAGTTTTTGCGGGCACAATTTACCACAATGATCCGCTGCCACAGGGGCATGGTACGCTGCAAATCCGTCATAAAAATCCCGGGGTCAAGACTCTGCCGTCGCTATTAGTAGCCGCAAACATCCATCAGCTCAGGGATGGCCATCAACTTACAACGCTAATGATTCCTTCGCCAGATACTCTTCTCGCGAATTCCGTTCCGTGCAAGACGTTGCCGGCCTTGCTCCTCGCGTACTTTTGCACTTGGCCCTCGTCCTTTGCGTAATCCATATTACTAAAGTCGATTGGCGGCTTTGGTGCCATGGCCGCCGTGCTAGAGGATACCCAGACAACTCGGACGGAGTCTCTGTGTGCAACCTTTGCCGTGCCGGATAGCACTGGGCGGAGGAAGTGGGTAAAGAGGAATGGAGCGAGATTGTTGGTGCCCAGTTGCAGCTCGTAGCCCTGGGCAGTTTTGGAACCCGGCGGTGGGGTCATCACACCGGCGTTGTTCCAGAGGACGTCAAGACGAGTTTCCTTGCTAAGAAATTCCTGAGCGGATTGCTTGATTGTGGTCAGGTCGTTCAAATCCAGATGGAGGTACTCGGCATGGCCCTGAGAATTGGGATACAGTTCCTTCAGCTCCTTGATCACGGCTGCGGTCTTGGCTTCAGACCGACACGCCATGTAGATTTTGGCGTTCTTCTGGTAGAGGATCTTGGTAAGTTCTTTTCCGAGGCCACCTGAGCTTCCTGTGACAATGAAAACCTATGTATGTCAGTTCGAACCAGTATGGATAAGTGGTATAGAATACGGAAGGTACCTTGTCGCTCTGATCGGGCAAATTTGCTTCGGTGAAGCTGGCCTTTGGCGGGAACATATTGCTTAATGCGCTACCCATTTTGCTGGATTTCGAAATGCTTGAGACGTTTACAGGGCTCGATGACGACTGTTGTCAAATGGATCATGATCGTTCACGTTTTATATACGACTCTGTAATGTATGATGGTCTTGGGTCTACTTTCAGTTCCGGCTGGCTCAGCTGCAGTCAACGTAAGCATCTATCAACAATAGGGCCGGGCAAGTTGGCTAGAGACGGAAACGAATCGTACAGCAGGGAGAAAACAAGCGGCATGCCACTATGCAAAGCTCCATAATATGCAGTCAACGTAAGCAAGTAAACCTTAATTCAAAATCTCTTGGAATCCCGGCTCCCGGTCTTTGGCTGGCCCGCTTATCTCCGGACTTGCACCCCGGGACCCCGTGCCTTAGATTTGGGCCGGGGCCGCAGCGAAATAAACCATTGTCTATGATGGGATGCCCATGGGCTTGATACGACAGCTTTATGACATCGTTGCGAACCGACACCCTTCTAATACAAGGCAAAAACTGCTGTCAATGATGAATTGATAGAATGATTGGGTATCTTGAGTACTACATCAATGGAAGAAAATGAGCAATAAGAGTCCAGCAAATGGCGCAACATGCCCATCAGCTCATGGAAGGTAGCTCAGAACGCTCGCGTCTATCCTCTGGCTATTTGGATCTTGGTAGCCTTCTAGTCCGTAGTATGGCAGATCGTGTTGCTGTGCCCCGAGCAACTCCATCCCAGGTGTGATCGTAGCCGGTTCTTGAGTTGCAAAAGACTGATTGAACTCCAGGCCCAGATTCTGCCCCTTAGAGGGCGACTGCGACTCTGGATAAGGAATGTCGGCAAGAAAACCAAAGTCGAAGTCCGGAATAGCGGGATCACCAAATATGTCCAACGGATCCGGAATCTCTGGCGTTGTGCCGCCAGTCGTCATGGTTGACGGCGAAGCGTCGGTCGCCGTGAAGAAAGACGCTGCCATCTCGGAGCTTGAAGACGCATCAACACTCAGCGCTTCTTGCAGTCCTCGCTCTTGGTTCTCAAGCTGTTGGTAGCCCTTGAACAGCGTGAGCTGGAGATTCCGAGCAATGTCAATGACCTTTTGCTTCATCCCTTCCTCGACGAAACTCAGCTCACGCTCGACCTCTTTTTCAAGCTGTCGGCGGACCAGCGGTGGAAGTTCACGGCGAAGATAATCTTCGTAGCCTCCCAGGTTCTTCTCGGCGTCCTCTGCATTATGGTCTGCAAGAATTACAGTCAGTTCCTGCTTCCATCGGTAGGGGCATAAGCTTACACGGTGACGGAATTTCCCGCTCTCTCACGTCGGGGAAGAGGATACGGTAGACTTGAATCCACTTCTCCGCTTCGGTGAGTTCTTTGACCGACGTCTTCTTCCGAGAACGAAGCTTCTTCTCTTGATCCTGCGTGATGCCATCCAAGACCTCCGGTTCGTGTACGTCACAGGCGTCCAGCGAGCGGGCGTGGGCTTGCAGAGCCAGTTGGGTCTCGAAAGACTGCGAGCATCGTGGGCACGAGAACTTTGGCAGAGAGTGCTTGCGATAAATGTGCTCCCTGGTGAGTTGTTAGCAATAAGCTGATGTGAGAAAAGAGGAGAAACGTACTTGATACGATGGACTTGGTCCCAGCCTGGACCGCAGCATGGTCGCTGGGTTTTGTACTTCCTTGGGTTGTACTTGAAGAAGGGACACGCAAGTTTTGCGCCCTCAATCGTGTCTTCCTGCACTTTGGACAGTTTCGCTCGGGGCAGTCCATCCTCATCGCCCTCTTCTTCTCCTTCGCCTGGCGCTTGGCCGTCTGTAGACCTGTCGTGTTTTCTCGACGGGGGTCTCATCTTACTCACCCTTCCGAGCATGTGTCTTTCATTGATCCCGTTTTTGAGCAAAGAAGTCAATTTACTGGTGCCACCCGCCCCTTGCTCTGCTGGTGGTTGTCGTGAAGCTATTGCCCGGTGCGAAGGTGCGGATGCTCCTATAGTTTCAGACCCTTTTGACGGTAAGCAAAAAGGTTGCGGTATGCGTGCTGGAGCAGCACTCCGTTTGCTAGAACTTTTGACTTCTTTGACCTCGCTTGCGCTCCTAACAGTGTAGCCTGATCGCGACTGCACCTGCTGCGGTGGTATGAGTCCTGGGACTGGTGCTTGTGCCGCTGATGCCAGTGGCGGTATCCCCGCAAAATCTACCATTGAATCGGAACTTGGCACATAAGTCGCAGAAATAGCAGAAATTTGCGACTCTCGTCCCGCTGGCGGCGGTGGCATAAACGGAGCCAGTGCTCCAAATGCAGCTCGTGGCGGCGGCGGCGGTGGGAGAGAAATGTTCGAGTTCCTGTGGCGAGTAACAGGTGCAGGAGCACTGGGAGCTGGGACTTGACGAAACATGAAGCTTTCGAGTTCATGTCCTCTGGAAGAGCTCTTCGCGCTACTAGGAACACTTCCTAGCATCATTGAACTGGACTTGGAGAGAGCATCATCTGCAGCATCGCCGCCAGGGGCAGCTCCAAACAAGTCTTCCTCAAATTGTGACGCACTCTCATGCCCCTCCTCTTCCTCCTCTTGCTTGACGTGCTTCTTGATATCCAGCCAACTCATGAACGAGGACATGACCCTATCAACTATGAGGCGTTGGACCTTCTTTGTACGGTCTTCGTTCTGATTCTCTGGCTCATCCTCTACATTAGATGCGCTGCCCTCGGTTTCGCCTCCAGACATCGCGCTTGATCTCTCGGGCGATGGATGACCAGGGGGCCGCCCAAGCTGGACCGTAATCTCATTCTGTGCGAATTCTGACTTGACCTTTTGGTCTGCATAGAATGAGAGATCTTTGGCGTCTTCCCCCAGCGCAGCTGCATAGACTGCGTCAGGTCCATTAGCGCCCGTCTCCTTGACCTTCTTCTTCTTCTTTTTCATCGTCAAATCTGGAGGCGAGGAAGATTTTTGGCCAGTCTGCGGATGAGAAAACTCGGAATCAGACGCGGCTGAGTCTGTACTGCTGTCTCGCTCTGGACCTGGTGAAAGTTGTTCGAGCTTGACAGATTTATCGCCATGCATCTCCTGCGTGGCCCACAGAGAGCCTCGAGACGAGGGTTGAGCGGAAACAGTCGGATTTGGCATTTCGTCTCCTGCTTGAGATCGAGAGGAGATGACTTCGGCATCGCTTGGTTGAGATGAGCTGTCGGATAGGCCTCCGTCATCGGTTAAGGGAGCCTTGCCCTTGTTCGGGGGCGGGGGCCTCATTGTGGCGTGTCGTGTACAGACAAGGTCTGTACAGCGAGGTAAGCTGAGACCGATTCCAAGAGAGATAAAGTCGATATGCAGACGTTAGATCGAACGGATCAGGTTGGAAAGTAAGATAGTTAAGGAGATTGAGATGTTCATCTTCGAAAGGGAAAATGGCCGTGCTGAGTTGTGCGCCGCTGCGCAAAACTCGGAGGCGCACTGCGGCTGACGGGACCCACATGGCCGCGCCCCGTGCCCCACTCCTTGCAATTGTCGGCCGGTTTTCTGCCGTTTTGACGCCCGCGTTATGGTGGAGAGGTGAGGTTATGTCTTGCAAGAATGATATGCAGTCGCGGGAGAGTAACAATTTTATTCGCCTCCAGAGCTGCTCATGCTACATGAGTCCATGTTACGTTTTTTGGTCTGTCTGTCGTGAGGAGAGTACTCTCGAGGCACCTTTGTCTAGGTTGTTTATTGTGTATTAGTAGGTATGTATTTCACACCTCAAAGCTCTCTCAGTAGACTCTCGTGTTCGCCTCGTGTAAGCTCGACACATCCGCGAATATTGACGACACCGAGAATTCATCCATTTCTTGCCAGACAGGCTTCATTTTCATCATCCATCTCATTCATTTGGGTGCCACCTAGCAAGGTAAACGACGCTTTCCAAGGCATACAGATGGGCTCTTCATCAGGGTAGACATGCCTCTAAAGGGAGGAAACCTGAGCCAGTCAAACAAATTTTTTATCGTATCACATCGTGTACCTTAGATAGGGATGCTTGATGATAGGATTACATTACCTAAGCATTTGGCAGCAGTGTAGTGAAAGTCATATCTGGAAGCCGGGGCTAGCAGATGTCTCTATGCTTGGTACTAAGTGCGCCATTCCTGAAGCACGTCGTCCTCTCATCTTACAAGTGCCAGAGTAAGATTCCAGAAGCAATTGCGACTATCAGTGAAAGCTCAGCAGATGGGTTGAACATTGCCTATCTCCCATCAAAGAGGCAATTCAGTAAGTTCAGCCGTGGGTCTGACATGTCCTTCAGCGGGGCGTTGTGGGGAGACGTGTGTCAAAAGGGCGCCGGAATGACATGTAGTCAACGCTATGGTGTGCTAAGGCGTTTTTGTCACCCTGTCACGCAGATTGAGCGTTGTTTAAATGAACCCCAACAGCCGTCTTTTTGATGTTTTTGTAAGGTAAAAGGCCACGATGGAGCAACCAGAGCAAGGTTCTTTCCTGGTATGCCATTTACTCAATGGCTCCTTCCCTCGAAAACCTGGAATCATTCCATCAGTTCTTTCCGGCCCGGGGATACTCCGTCCGACTTCCATTGCAACCTATTGCCCGGCTGCCTCCAACTACGACTGACAGAGTTGTCTAATACTCACCAATGCGGCAACATCTATCTTGTTGATCAACCAGCCCGACAATCCTCACGAGACCTCAGAATCACCGTGCCGCCACCCGATATCGCATTCCGATTTTATTAGGTGTTCTTCTGGCCCTGTCAGTTCCTCGGGATGGGTCACTGAATCCGGCTAGGCCTTCTTCCCAAGAACTATCTGTCGACCGTGAACCCCCTACGCCGAGAGATATCAAATAAGCCGGACCAACCATCTCCAGTTACCGCTGTCCGACAATCGGGCATCACCTGCTCTTCTGGGCTGGTCGCCCTTATCTTCACCAACAACGCTCGCCTACCTTGTGTTATCGCTGCTGTTGGCATGGGCCACTGCTGAACGGCCGCTGCTCTCCGAGATAAGGCACACACTAGCCCTTGGCATTCTCTTGGTTGGCGACACAGCTTCTGGGCTTATAACTGCGCCATAACCCACAGCTCCAGAGATGCCAACCAGATCTTTTTTGAGAGTGGTTCACGGCGGAATACACACACAATCCCCATGTTGCTGTCCTAACCAACACACAACGAGAGCATGAATTGCAACTGGTACTTTCAACACATGGTAGAATATGAGTGTGAAACAGATTTGATATCAAAGCAATTGTGGTATCTTCATTTTGCTAACAATTACCAGGACGGTAGTCCCATCCCGATCATCCTCAAGGCAGGATTTTGATTAAAATATACATGAATGCGGCAGCACGTAGATCCCCCTTTGGCAACAACACCGTTTACCACACCTTGTGGAGTGCGCGCCTCCATGCGGGGAGCGAGGCGATGTGTGCACGGTATGCGTGGATCTCGTCCCAGTCAAGCTCACGTCGGCCAGTGTCGACATCCATCTGGGCAGTGCGGAGCCAGCCAGTGCGCTTCCAGAAGAAACCACCAAGCCAGAACACGATGACGACAGGAAGGGCGAGATACGACTTGAAGAAACCTTCAGCGTCGTTAAGCTCGGTCGTGCCAGGGGGTGCGATAGCAGTGTAGAACTGTGGATTCTTGTTAGCATGCCATCTCTGATCCCGTCAAAAGGTTTTTTATTTACCTGAGCAGCAAGCACAACGAAGCAGAGGAAAAGTCCGATCCAGGAGCCGGTGACGCCACCAATGGCCTTGAACGGGATCTCGTCGACAGTGTGACCGTGGTAGGCCCACGCCTTGCGGAAGCGAATGTGCGCCAAGCAAATGGATCCCCAGGTAAAGACCGCAGCCAAACCGGAAAGAGCCAACAACCAGTCAAACACAACAGGGCCGCTCGCGCTGAGGTTGATATACGCCAAGGGCGAGAAAATGATGACAGCCAGCACGGAAGGCAGCGGACGTCCTGATCTGTCAATGTAGGTGAAGATCTTGGGCGCGTAGCCCTGCTGGGCCAGGGCAGTGAGGGTACGCGAACCACCGTAAACGCCAGACACACCAATCGACACGACAGAGACGAGGATGACCACGTTCATAAAATGGTCGAAGCCCACGAGACCGGCGTACTTGCCGACCAACACGAAGGGAGAGGCCTTGACGTCAGAGTAGGCAGACTCGGAGAGCAGCGCAGGGTCGTCGGAGGGGATCAACAGACCGACGAAGAACAGGCCCAGGATGTAGAAGAGCGAGATACGCCAGAAGACCTGCTTGATGGCACCGGGAAGCGACTTGACGGGGTTCTTGGCCTCGGCGGCAGCAAGACCAACTAGCTCAGTGCCGGAGAAGGAGAAAGCGGCCGTGACAAAGACGGAGCAGAATCCCTTGAAACCGTTGCGGAATGCGCCCGGATTATACCACGTCTTCGCACCCTGGTATTCGCTGTATCTGCCGCTAGACGGTCCGCCACCGAGGACAAGGACGAGGCAGATGATCATGAAGATAACAGTGGCCGCGAGCTTGAGGCACGACGACCAAAATTCTTCCTCGGCGTATCCAATAGATCCGAAAATGTTGATGATGATAATGACGACAAGGAAAAGTGTAATCCAGACGGCCACGTTGACAGTGTCATTCCAGTATGCGACAACAAGACCAGAGACAGTCAGCTCAAGCGGTAGCACAATAGCCCACTGGAAGACATAGTTCCAGCCCATGGCAAAACCCCAGGAAGGATCGATGAAGCGAGTCGAGTACGTGTAGAAGCCACCAGAGACGGGATACATAACAGCGAGTTCACCCAAGGCGTACACTGCACCGTGTCAGAGGCTTCTTCAGTGTACGAGATTGGCAGGGATTTTCAGACTTACCGACGTTGAACATCATGATACCCACGAGAAGGAAGTCGATCAAGAGCGATCCGGGGCCCTGCTTCAGCGTTAGAAACCACCGTTAACGAGAGATACGGAATACTTACACCCTTGCTCAGAGCACCACCGGAGCCGACGAAGAAACCAGCACCAATAGAACCGCCAATGGCAATCATGTGGAGATGGCGAGAGCTCATAGCGCGGTCGAGTTCGACGATGCCGCGACCGTAATCCTTCTTCGTGAAGGATTTCAAGTTGAGACCATTGCGTGTTGCCCAGCTGTCCTCGCTGATATCGCCTCGAATCTCCTGTCCACTGCCGGTGTCGTACCCAGGAAGGCCACCGGTGGCCTTCTCATCGGCCTCGACCTTGGTGGGCACAACCCCTTCTGGTGCAGCCATGGCGATGAATTTCGCGGCTTTATGGGGTTACACAGACAAACAGTGTCTGTTACAAAAGAATGCTGCGGGAAGAGGGCCCGAGAAGAACAGAAATGACGGAGAGGGATGGCTGTCGGACACGAGACAAACCAGATCAGACGGGGGAAGGGGGGAGGTTTATGAAGGAAATGCCAATCGAGAGCACAGGAACCGGCGCGCAAGGACTAAGGGTTCTTGTCAAGGGCGGCAAGCGGATCCAGTCATGCATGGAAAGTTGATAGGCTGAACTTGGTTGACGATGGAAAATTACACACAAGAGAAGGAGGGAGAGATGAGGGTCCAGGGCCGATTGAGTATCAAGCTGGTCTATCCAACTTTGCCCCCCTCTCGACGGGCGACAGACGCAGATCTTGGCAAGGACAGGATATGGCAGGCTATCCTGGCAGCAACCCCCGTTACTTGTTGCATACGACTTGGGGGAGGGATGGAGGCGATTTGTCTTTTGGTCGTGCTTCGATACGTACCAAGTCCTAGGGCAGGCCAGCGGGAACGAGCGAAACCTTCCCCGTCATTGAGTCTACTGCGTAGGTACTCCTCTGTGTTCGTACGGAGCACTACTGTCTGGGCGAGCTGAGGACGAGGTACCTGGTGAGTTAGGCGGACTGGCTGCGGACAGCTTTCCGGTATGCATGATGCACTAACGAGAAACCCAGGCACGGGTACAAACCCATATTCGGCCGAAGAAAGGGCAAGCCGTCGCAGTCGCAGTCGTAACGAAGTGGATTTGGACGAGACCCCGTCGCCAGCGACCGTGACCTGGGGGAGACGAGAACCACAGCAATGGGATGTCACCCTACTCTCCACCGTGGCACCGAGACATATGCGTACGCCCCAGCCGGGCGATTGAGAAAGCCTGAGAGCCCCCAGATAGCGTGGGTTGTGCTGGTTGGCCAATGGGCGACTTGTCACTTGAAGCCGTTAGCAAATGGCTCCGAAAAAGTGGCCGCCCCTCCTATTGTCCATTGCGCGCTGCCTCCTCAACGTTATCTCAGGATCCAGTCCGACCCTCCTCCTCTCGAACCTGTCTGTGGGACTGGGGCCCTGGGGGGCATATGTGAAGTGGAGAGCACGAATCTTTGGGCCCGGGTCGGTGAGGGGAGATGGTCCACGCAGAGGTCCAGGTCCACGACGCTGGAGACGAAGCCAGGAGGCTAGCCTGCATTGCAATCTGCGTGCTATAGTACACAACAGTCTCTGCTGCGATTCGGTCACTCTGTCTTCCCGGTACACTGGAAATCGTCAAAGTCGAGGAGGCTCATCGGGAAGAAAATCCTGCAGGTAAGCCACACCAATGATGTCCAACCAGGCTTCTTGCCAGGGTTGCAGCGGCTTTTGCTACACTTCTCGGCGCGGCATTCACGGAAACTGGCTGTTCCCTAACTTCCCTTTCAAGAGCTTGGGTTGCCAAGAAGTCGACTGCGGCCAGACAACTGGCTGGTCCGAGAATGCATGTGGTGTGGGTGGACCGGGGGGCTGATCTTGGCCGCCCCAGGTTTCCATCATCCTTGAAGAGCCCCGACGTCGTGCAGCCGACAGAGCCAACGACCGCGGCTGGCATAAAGTCTGACCTCGATGCCTCAACTTTAGCGTACTTGCTGCACTGGCAGCGCTACCGCATGATGGCTTGTGATAGTGCAAGTTACCCAATGCGACAGATACACGCAACGTCATCGCTTCTTTTCGAATGAAAAAATCCTGTCGAGCCAGTGTTTGCGCAAGAGAAATGGAGGAGAGGTTCCAAGGGCATACGGCCTGCCGGTTCAGCACTGCGTTTCGTTTCGATCACAGATAGTTGGAACGGGGAGTTTTCTCTTCTGCAATCAACAGGGGAAGGCTACTACCTTACGCAGCAGGTGGAATCGGTCCCACCCCTGGTCGATAGCTCCCGGTGTTCCCATCCCTCCCTGCAGAACACGACAACTTCGAGTCGTCGCCGGCGTAGGCCCTATCGCGCGGCTGTGTTGGTTGCGACAGTTGGTTATAATGTAATATGGTTGACTAGACATGATACGTCTGCGACAAAACCCCCATCCGGCAGAGGTCCTACCAGTTCCCCGGGTGAAGGCGCAGGCGACAATAGCCACTCCTCTTCGACAACAGGGTTGATGACAGAATGTCGCCTTTGCGTCTGGTGATGTGCCGCTGCGTGTCGATGGAGATGCGGCGCTTTCGGAACCAACATCAACCGACCTTGACAAGTGGCAATGCGATAAGCTGTTTGATGGTGTTCACGGCTCATCCCATAGGCCGGCACGTTTCGAACCAGCCATCAGTGCGCCGCCAGCTTTGCCTACTTGTCTGCCTACCTTACTTATGTGCTTACTTTTACCTACTCTTTGGTTCCTAGTCATCCAGTATGAACGGCAAAGGGGGGCAGAACTTCTAGTCTCTCGCGCCAGGAAGGTCGATGGTGGCAGCACCACATGTCTGCGACCCCCCCCCCCCCTCGGGCCCCCTTCCGCCAATTCCAATAACCTGCTTGACTCTGAATATCGGTCATTTCGGTCTCTAGCCATTGGCGATTGCCAACGCCCTATCGTCCCCTGCGACCACCATTCTGCAATGGCTGCAGTAGGTCGCATCGTTTGGGCGGCGGGTGACAAGCGAATCCCAGCATCGCTGCATGGCCAGGCAGATCAAGACCTTCTACTCGTCCTTCTAGCGTCCTTCCATCGGGTTCTCCCTCCAATAATGTCACTCACACGCTTCGCTGCATCTCGATTTGTTACTCTGAGGGGCATTGTGATTCTGGCTGAGACTCCCGCGAGTCGCACCCACAAAGTCAGCATATGAAGTCATTTGCTTCGTTATCTATACTTCCGGTATCAAACAGGTGGAAGTTCGAAACGGGATGCTTATCTACGCCGCAGGATCATGGATCCCACTGCCAACGCCAGAAGCACCACACGTATGCGGATCCAGTTCGAACATTGGGCTGCCGTACCCACCATGTATCCGTACCCTTACTCGAGGAACCTAACTTGGGTCCAGTTTAATTGGGGTGAACTCGGGGAAACAGCCAGGAGCGTGTGCTGACCCAGGTGAGTCCGCGTGCGGTGTCGGTCAGGGGGAGAGGGGAGTGAGGGGGAGACTCGGGAGAGGGAATTCCCTGGGCCTGAGATGAAGCCGCAAGCGCGAATTTCTCACGCAATTGCAGGCAACCTAATCTTCCATTCGTACGGTCGCCATGAACGCGCTGAATGGACTGGGATTTGAACGACATGGGAGCAATGAGTTCCCGTACACGACTCATTACATCCGCATCGCACATTGCTACATACAGCTCTTGTCAGAGTAGTCATCTTTCGAGCGAGCTCGCTGGGATTCATCTAGACTTCAACGTGGCCGCATCTCAAGAAACATCTTCGTCGGTTCGATGAACAAGCACCCTTTTTCCCTCCTTTTCCTTGCGGTCGGTATGAAGTGAACAGCTCGTCCAAACAATCTCGCCGAACTATTTAGGCCTGCAGTATAGTCCGCGTCTGGTTGCAGCGCCAACGCGACCATAACATTCCCAGCCCCAGGAGGCAGGCAGTAATGATGAGAAATTACCCACATTGGCGGCACGGCAGTCGCAGACGCCCCGTATTCGAGATTACTCCGTGTCAAGAGGCCTCGAAGCGGCAACTAGCTCCTTTCCATGCCTCCTTGGCTGCATCAGTCAGTATCTACCTTACGGATGCAAATTAGCGCTTCTTTTGCTATGCAAGCTCGCAAAGTTTATGGGCAGATTTGATGAGGCGGCGACGGTCCATCCCGACTGCGTGCCTACTGCAGCCACACGGTAACCGAACAGCCCTGAGCCTGGCGAACAAGGCCGAGAGTAAAGCGCGCTTGATGGCGTGACAAGGTAACAGTGGTAGGGATTTCGATTCCTCGGTTAGGGCCGAGAGGCGCTGCGCTACCAGAAACACACCATCAACGTCTTGTTGGCTTTGGAGTTGGCGGCAGATTGACTTTCTCAAAGACAACCTGTATTCGTACCTACGTGTGGTGTGGTGAAGCCATCCACGCCGACGCCTTGTCATGGGCCACGCTTTCTTTCGACAGCAGGTGTGGAGGAAGTGGGCAGTGTCCGGACCATGAATCCAATCCATGGTGATGGATTAGCATCCTCTGGGGAAGCCAAGTGAGGTGCCCATTCGCGCGCGAGAAGAATTTTGTACGTAATGGCGTGCGTTTGACGTTGGCCTCTGCTCTCGCTTCTTATCTCTCCAGACTCCAGTTTAATTGTAGCACTACGGACATGTGGGTGGGACGAGAGACGAGACGAGGGTCTCCTGCATTCGGACTGACCGAAGATCGCAACGAATGGATTCAAGGACCCGCTTCGAATTGGGGGACTCTTCCCTCTGTGTGGTGGGACAATCTCACATGGCTACGGGGTTTGGCTGATATCGGAAATCAGCGTCGACGACTGTCAGCAGAGCAGCCGCGCCCTTCATCCGTGCTGGTTCCTATCATGAACTGATCGACATCCGACGAGAACGAACGACTCGGAGTTGTCGCGAGTAAAACCTCGAAGACTCGCATTCGGGGGTAGAGTTCACGACAAACGATATCCGTGCAGCAATTACCTTATTTCGATTGATTATCTAATTATTGGTGGTCCGTTGGAAACATCATGTACAGCAGGCTTCGTTTGATGCGTCGTTTATGTTGTTGTTGCCGCACGCCAATAGTAGCATCACCAGCTGAAAAACAGGCGTTGAGAAGCGACGGCTTCGGACATTTTACTCATGCGCCAAGATCGCGTCAGACTCGATCGCCTAGTCTCTTCCACAATCGAAGCTGAAGGCGAGGCGACCGTGGTCCTGGACACTGAAGCCCTGGCTATCTACCCGTTCGTCTGCGGCCCGCGATCTTTGAGAGTGCGATGACGAAGAAGGAATGCCGCTGCCAGTCCAGGCTTCCCCCCCCCCCCCCAGAGGCTTGGGCCGTTTGATTGATCGCCGTGGCATGGCCAAGGGCTGCTGCAGAGTGATAAGGCACACGCACACAAACACTCTAGGCTTGGAGGAGGAAAGGTTTCTGGTTGGCAAGCTCATCTTCCAGGGCTGAACGCCCGCAGCGCAGCGTAAAGGGCGGCGGGAAGGGAGGACGGCTTGGCCGACGATGCGCTTTCCTGGCCTTGCCTTGCCTCCCGGTCGATTCGGTAGCATAGCGGCGGCTTCTTATCTCTTGAAGCTCACTCGCGCCGAGCGGATGACTACTTTAGATAGGCAGTAGAAGCCAGGCCTCCCCTCCCCCTTCAACCCCCCCCCCGGGCGGACAAGTTGTCTAGCATGATTTCCGAAGCCCTATGAGGCTGCAGGGCGCAGAAAGACGTTGGCTATCGACTATTCACATTTGGCCTAGTCTTGGCTAGGATATTTTCGATGCTTTCCGTGAGGGGAGCCCAAAAGTCGAGCTTCATCCGGTCACCGAGATGAGGTAGCCGGGTGATGGGTGTACCTACCTCAAATCCGGCCGGCCTCGACGTGTGGGAAATCCTCTGAGACAAGCACCAAAGGATCTACGTCTGCGTCAATTGATCGGCGACCTATGAAGGCAAGGCACGTTGAGATTAAGTCGCGTCAGGATTGTAGGTATCTATCGGAAAACGTTAGTCGGCATCGGATGCAAGCGAGATGGATTTGATTTGCGTCACCCATTTCATTCAGCCGCCAATGAGCACCAACGGGCCCGGCGTCGAAGGCTGATTCTCTCGCCGTGCCGCTCTTTTGCAGCAAGCCACGTTTGAAGGGCGCGGTCGCGGTCGCAGTCGCAGTCGCACTTTATCCCAGACAACAGACAGACAGACAGACAGACAGACAGACAGACTGCCGAGGTGGATGATATGAAAGAAGTGAGAAGACGTTGCTTTTCACGGCAACGGCATGAACTCGGAATTGACAAACAGAAATTGACGCATACTTCGTTTATTTTACCCCGGAAACCACTTTCCCCGCGAATCCACGGCTTGGAAGTTTGGTAACTCCAGCAAAGAAACTCCATCCATTACTTGATCAAAACCACTTTTGCCGGCATCTCATTACGTACGGACTTGAAGAGTCGAACCCGGGACATCTCCACATCGGCATCCCATCTCGCTGCCTGTCTCCAGTTTCCCACGTTCCCGTCTCCAGACTTCCCAGCGAAAGAAAAAAGAACCCGCCAGCCCGCACGGCGGCGCATTGCGCACGCACTTCACGCACGCGAGCGCTGGAGCAGAGAGAGAGCCGGGCTCCATTTCCCCGCGATTTCCACACCAAAATGGTCAGGTCGTGACACATCCGAAGCTGGCCGCGAACGAATCAGTCCCCGGGCAATTGGATAGACGAATACCTACGTAGTAAGGTACAAATCTAAAACAATTACGATTGACTTTGCTGTACAGAATTATGGATCCATCAGAGACATTTGCGACAAATCGCCCGGATTGAGGACCCGCGTGACGTTCAGCGGCAGACGATCCCTCACGCATGGGGACGATGACGGGGAGCAGCACTTTCGAGTCTGTTGTCCCAGTCTACTCTCGAGTGCATCAACTCGCCTCCGCCATATGAGCCGTCTCTGACCGGCTCCGCCTCCGCACCCGCGAAGCTCGCCCCTACCGCTAATCGACCTTACCCCGCCTTTCTTCCTCTAGTAATCTAGTGTCCGTCGATCAGTTTGGCGAGGAGCGATAAAGAAGCGCTGAGCGCAC